CAGGGGGGGTTGGGACTAGTTTAGGGTTCCTTCCAACCCCTTAACATTCTGTGATTCCCTGGGAACCAACCATTACCCCTGCCGTGCTGAGGAACGACCCCCACGCACAGAACTTGAAGCAGAGACACCAAACCACACGGACGCACAACCCCGCGCTCCTGAAACCTCCCCAAACAACGAGCTCCAGCTTCCTGCGGCCCCACCACGGCACCCTGGTTAAACACTAAGCTCCTCTCCTACAGCCAGGCTCGGCGCTGCCGACCCGGCTCGGGAGCACAGACCCGTCCTCGGGCACCCGCAGCCGGCCCCGCTGCGTGAGCTCTGCTGGGGCAGCGACCCGCGGCAAACCTCCCCGGGAGCCCACACGGGGAGGCCCCGCGAGCGCTCCCCGCGCAGCCTCCGCCGCAGCGGCCTGCAACCGGGCCCCGCGGCCGGGGGACGCTGCCGGGGGGCCTCGGGGCCCGGCGCGTGGGGGCCGAGAAGCCACAAGCGGCAGAGGAGAGGAGGGAGGGAGGCGGCGGGACGCGCGAGCCGTGCCGTCCGCAGCGCGCGCCCGCCGCCCCGCACCTCACCGTGCTTCGCGCCCGCCGCCGCCGCCGCGCCCGGCCGGCCCCGTCGCCGCGCGCCCCCATTGGCCGCTCCGCGGCCTCCCTCCCCTGCGCCCCATTGTCCGAACCGCCCCGAATCCATCGGCCCGCGCGCTCCTATTGTCCGGTCCCGCCCCCCTGCGCCCCTCGCGAGAACAGAGCCGCCGAGGCGCCTTTTCGCGGAGGAAGCGCGCACGGCCGCCGGGGCGGCGGCTCGGCGGCAGCGGTTCGAGGCTGCCCCCCGCCACTCCCGACCCCGGCTCCAATCGAGAACCGCGCGCCGCCGCGCGGGATCGCCGGGAGAAATCCAGGGAGTACAGATCCCTTCATCCGCAGGGACAGCACCCGGGGAACGGCGTGCGGCCGAGTCGGGGGAGGTTTAGCTTGGATATTAGGAGAAGGTTCTTCCCCAGAGGGGTCGGGCACTGCCCAGGCTCCCCGGGGCAGTGGGCACAGCACCAAGGCTGCCAGAGCTCCAGGAGCGTTCGGTCTCCAAGGGGGTGAGGGTGACACAGCCATTCCAGCTCACCCAACTTCCCCAGCAAAAAAAAAGTGCAAACGCTGAATTCTCCCCCTCTGAGGCGGGCAGGTTGCTCTCCCTGAATAGTGACGCTCACTGGTTGTTCAGCAGCTGGCTGGTGTCACCAAAAAATCATTTTTTTTCCAATGCTGTGTTCCTGCCTGGCTCCCTGGAGTCCGTGTTCTTTGTAAATCTGTAGGTTTAGCAATTTCTGGTGTATTTAGCACTATATGCTGAGGCCTGGCACATGTAAAGTATGTTTTTTCTGTGGCATGGGCTGTTCCATGCTCTGGGGTCTGCTGTGCTGGGGCTTGGCCCACAGGGTGCCCAGTTAAACCAACCGTGGAACTTCATCCCAAAAATCAGCAGGGGGAGGGCGCTCTGGCGCTGAGTGTTTGGGGCAGACAGTTTGAGGGGTGCACTTGTCCCCGACAGGATGCCCTGGTGGAATGGATGTCCTGGTGGGATGGGTGCCCTGTGGGATGGAAGTGCCTTGGTGGGACGGACGTCCTGGTGTGATGGGCGTCCTGACGGGATGGGTGCCCTGGCAGGGTGGCTGTGCCACCCCACCTTTCCCTGAGCCCGTCCAGGCTCCCGGAGCGCCTTTCCAGCGAGAGGAGAGTCCTGGTCTGCCCGGGGAGCGGTGCGGGTGCCTCCGGGACGGGAGGGGGGAACAGCCGTCCTGAGGGGCTGAGACTGGGGCGGAACGGGCACAGGCAGGGACCCGGGGGGGAGCAGGGACAGGCAGGAACCGGGGGGAATGGGGACAGGCAGGAACCGGGGGAATGGGGACAGGTAGGGACCCGGGATAGCGGGCACAGGCAGAGAGCAGGGGAACAAGGACAGGATGGCACCGCGGGAAGCGGGACGGGCAGGGCCGCGGTGCTGCGGGCAGGCAGGTGGCAGCAGATCCCTGCGGAAGGGCTCGGCGCGGGAGGAGCCGCTCCTGCGGTGGGGCCCGAGCCCTCCGGACGGTGGGTGCTGTCCCCTCTGTGGGTGCCCGTCCCCTCTGCAGTGGGTGCACGGGGCGCTGTCCCCTCTGCACCAGGTTCCCATCCCCTCTGCCCTGGCTGCCCATCCATCCCCTGAGCATGGGGTGCTCGTCACTCCTGTGCCAGGGGCGGTTTAGATTGGATATTAGCAAAAATATCTTCACTGAAAGTGTTGCCAAGCACTGGAACAGGCTGCCCAGGGAAGTGGTGGAGTCACCACCCCTGGGGGGATTTAAAAGATGTGTAGGTCTATCACTTGGGGACATGATTTAGTGGTGGGTTTGGCAGTGCTGGGGTAATGGTTGTACTTGATGACCTTAGAGGGCTTTTCCCACCTTAACAATTCTATGACTATGATTCCCCTTCTGCACTGAGTGCATTTTCCCTCTGCACTGAGTGCATTTTCCCTGGGGACAGGATGTATTTCCCCTGTGCACACGTGCCTGTCGCCTCTGCACAGGGTGTGTTTACTCTCTGCACAGGGTATGTTTACTCTCTGCACTGGGTGCACATCCCCTCTGCACACAGTGCTTGTCCCCTCTGCACAGGACGATGTCCCCTCTGCACAGGGTGTGTGTCATGTGCACAGGGTGCTCGTCCCCTCTGCACCCAGTGCATCCCTCCTCTGCACAGGGTGCACACCCTGTCTGCACAGGGCACGTGTCATCATCATGTCAGCAGGGTCATGAACATCCATCATGCCTCTGGGGCTCATGCAGAGCCAGAAAAAGTGGAACTGAATGCAGCCCCATGGGCAGCTGCAGGGCTGCCTGACTGGAGTCGTACCCAGGACCCCCTGCCCTGGCTCCCCTTGGATGCCCCAGGGGGATGCTTGGTCACCTCCAACCTCCTCTGCAAACTGAGCTGGGCTTTTCTTTGAGGGGCTGGATAAAGCACATCAGCCTCTTCTTGCATCAAGCAAAGGCTTCCATCGCTCTCCTGCTATACACAGCTGTCTGCAGGCTGAGAGCAGTTCCTGCTTCATCAAAAAGTACTTTTTTATATAGAAAATACTCCTGAGGGGACCAGAAAGCTCTCAGGTACCTCACTGAGTGCAGCCATAGTCAAAGCCAGGTGCTGGATGTATCCCAGGCCAGTGCCTCACATGGGTGGCCTCAACCCTTCCGTTTATCCTGTAGCTTTCCTCTCCCCAGGCCCCTCTTGGGGAGGCTGGAAAGGGCACCGAGGCTGAGAGTTCCCACCTCTGCCAGATGGATGTGCAGGCAGAACCAGGAGCAGGCAGGGCAGGCTGGCACCAGCAGAGTGCAGAGGTGTGTGCCCACATTCACCCTGGCACGTCACTGGGAACAGGGAGCAGTTGGTGCCTGAGGCTCTTCCTGTGAGGGGAAACCCCATCCGTGCCCCAGCTTTGTTTCTGGTGCAGGATTTGGGTGCCCAGCCCCAGGGGGCTCAGTTTGCAGCCCCGCTGCTGCATGGCTGGGGTGGCAGCCCTGCTGCACAGTGGGGCTCCAGCAGTGGGGCCAAGCCAGTCTTGTTTTCCAGCAAAGCATCTTCTCAGGGGATTTATGTTTTTTTATATGCATTTAGGGCAGGGCAGACCCTTATAACCCATCTCCAGCACTAAGCCTCTGTTGCAACAGGCAGTGCTGGAAGGCTGCTTAGGCAAAGATACACTAATGTAATAAGGCAAAGCATTTAAAAGGCAAATGGGTGCTGAGCTGGGTGTTGCTTTTCTCACTGGCAAGGCTGGGTGCTGAGCAGGCTGGGCACCGACTGCAGAGCCACGTGCTGAAGCTGGGCAAACCTTTGGGGAAGGGGTGAGCAGCTCCCCTGGGTGCCTGGAGCATCCCTGGGGACCGACATACTCCCCTCTTGCAGACAACCCACCTTGTGCCACCCAGCCTAGCAGAGAGGACTACACGGGTGCCAAAGGGACCGATTTTGCTGCTTTTTAAATTGGTCCTGTCCCTGGTGTCTTGTCACCAAGGGCTGGAAGAGACATCCCTGTCAGGCTGAGCTGTCCCACTGCCCCAAGAAGCAGAGAAAGGGCGATGGCAGCAGGGCTGGGAACCTGCATCTGTGGTGGGGCACACCCAGGGGACATGTATGGGCAAGCCAGTGCTTGAAAAATTACTCTTTCACTTGGCAGAGACTTTTGGAAGCAAAACACACCTCGTGCATCTTCCCAGTGCCCTCCTTCCCCCACTCCCAGCAGCCACCCCTCATCCAGGCAGCCAAGTGTTGCTTTCACGGCTGTGGTTATCTGCCCTCCTGCCTCTGAAGGTCATCGCAGCTCCAAGCAAGGTGTTCCCCAAAAATGAGCCAGAAAAAAGTGCTCCTGCACGGGCAGGAGGAGCCAAGCACTGTAGCTGGAGGTCTTTGGCATGGGGAGGCTGCAGGGAAAGTGCCTGTTTGGGAACGATCTGCTCTGCAATAGATTGGGGTTTGTAAAGCACAGGTTCCTGGGGAAGGGAGGTTTGTCCCCACTAGGATTTCTCCAAGTGCTCTCCAGCAGCAGCTCAGGGCAGGCACCTTGCCAGCCCACTCCACCTTCCCATGCTTGCTCCCACAAGCTCCTTCACCCAGAGGAAGCTCCAGAGTGGTGCAGAGGCACCTGCCATGAAGCCAAAGAAAGGCTGAAGAGGGCTGGAGCCCTCCCTGCCACTGCTTGCCCACCCCCCTAGGCATGTCACCTGTCCTCATGGGGAGACCAGCACCTTAAAGATGCCCAGAGCCACCCTGCATGCAGGATGAGATCTGTCCCATGTCCCGTGTCCCAGGCTCCTTTCTCCCCCCAGGGAGGCACAGAGCCCACTCAGGGAAGGCCACGGGGGTGTTCGTGAGCAGCCCCCTCGCACCCTGCAGCGACAATTCCCACACGGGTGTCACGAGTGGTGACCGTTCTCAGCCTCCAGCCCAGCCCGACAGCAGCACTCGTGCCTCAAGAACAAATCCTTTATTTCCATCCAGTTTCCCCACTGGTACAGAAAATACAAAACGTGGAAAAAAAAAAAAAGGAGTAGTTTTTCTCCGTGCCCCCCCCCCGAAGCGTGCCGGCTATTTACAGCGGAGCCGCGCGGCTCAGTGGCAGCAGCTGCACTTGCTGCTGGCCGGCTCCTTGCACACGCAGCCCTTGGCGCAGTTGCTGCAGCTGGCGGGGCAGCAGGAACAGCAGCCTAGGGGGGGACACAAGAGTTAGGAGGCGGCTGGAAGGGAAAGGGGTCCCACGGGGCAGGGGCACGCGGTGGAGACTGGGAAACACCACCTCTGTGTTCCCAATGGGCTGTGATCCCAGTGCGCTGGAGGTCTCCACGAGGGTCCCACAGGGCAGGGGCAGCCCTCCCCACAAGGAGGAGCTGAGGGGGTATCCATGGGCCAGAGGAAGAGGGAGGGATTCCACGAGGGTCCTACAGGGCAGGGGCCTCCCCATGGGGGAGAGGAGGGGTCTCCATAAGAGTTCCTACAAAGCAAAAGGGGGCTGTCTATGGGACAAGGGTTGGGAGGTCCCCATGGCAGTCTGACAGGGCAAGGAGGGGTTCCCCTGTGGGGCAGTGAAGTGTCCATGGGCTCCCACAGGACAAGGAGGGATTCTGCTACGGAGCAGGGAGGTCCCCAGGGCGGCCCCCAGGGCAAGGAGGGGTTATCCCATGGAGCAGGGAGGTGTCCATTGGGGTCCCACAGGACAGTGACAGCCTCCCCCTCTCCCCAGGGCAAGGCCGGATCTCCCCACCCTGAGCCCCCCACTCACTCTTGCGGCAGCTCCGGCAGCGGCAGTTCTTGCATTTGCAGGACCCGGCGCAGGAGCAGGAGTCACCTGGGGACGGCGGGACAGCAGAGTGAGCCGGGAGAGAGAGAGCCGGGAGAGAGCCGGGAGAGAGAGAGCCGGGAGAGAGAG